CTTTGGGACATTTGAACCACGGGGTTGTTGATTCTGTCGATAGGCTGAAGTTGCTGCTTGTCTTACAGTTAGTCTTTTTGGTGTATGCCGGATCCTTGGTGAAATCTGGATGTGGTTTGTTTTACTTATCTTCTTTGAGTTTTCACCTGGTAGGAGCATATTGTTTTTAGGATTTCTTTGTGAGAGTAGGGGTCTTCCTCTCTTCTTCTTAGTTATTTGGCCCTGGTTTGTCTCCAAAGTCGCTTGGTGAGGAGGAAGATCTTGGTTCTGTTCTTGGTCCGCCGTGGTGAAAGATTGAATAACTTCACTATTCAAGCCGTTATAGTACGTTGTTGATGCTGCTGCAACTATAGTTGCAACTGTTTCCGCCATGAGCCCCCTCTCTTCACCACTGATTACTCGTTGTTGTCTCGCAGCCCTTTCGACTGGGTCCTGTACGTTTGCGTATTGTACCGTAACTTCCTGGAGCTCCGCCATAACCTCTTCTGTGGTGGGAAGGGCAGGTGGGGGAGGAAAGTCTACGGTTTCCAGGTTTCTTTCCAATGGAGGTCATCGATTTCTCACCGACTCTCGGGTGATTTGTCTGGTGGGAGTAACATCTACACGCTCTCTCCATTGGAGGGACGATTATTGTGGGAAAGCAGTTGTTGTGGTTTTCTGGGATACAACATCTTAGCGTATTTGGTTCCCCTTGTGGCCTATTAGCTGTTTGTGTGGTCTAGTTCTTTGGTAGTTTTGGGAGGTTGAGTGTGCACTGTCTCGAATGTAGTGTCTGCTCTGTCCAGTCTCTTTGCGATCTCTGCGGTTAACATATTCCCTTGAGATTTCTCTACTTGCTCTGTGGTATCTTGTAGAGTGGTTTTCATTCATCTCTAAGTCTTGGTGTTGGCTTATCTCCCTTAGGCTTGTCGATGAGTTCCTTGTCTCCTTTGTCTCATTAATTATATGTTTTCTTGTTGGGTCGGAAGCCATCTGGTTATCAGAGTAACCGTAGTCTTTGTGGGAACGCCCGTGACTCTGTTGGGGTGAAAGCTGCGTCCTCTGACTCTCAGACTTCTGTGAGGAATCAGGGCAATCTTTCTTCTCGTGTGTTAGTTTCGTACAAAAGGAGCAGTGGGAAGCTAGTCTTTCATATTCCAAAGCTACAA